ACTTGACCGAACCCATGGGAATTAAGTTTTTAGGCTTTATTTAAAGGCTTGGGCAAAATGTTGGATTTTGGGCGACTGGTTGCAGCCTCTGTTCATGCACCAACTAGTTTTGCAGCCCGAATTTGCATTAGACATAACTCTTTCACTTTAAATTCAAATAGGTCATTCTTGAGCCCAAATTGAATAATTTTTAGTTAGTTTTCCAATGATACCTATTTCATTCCTAAGTTCCAATCACACCGGGAGTTATAGTTGTTTTAGTGGAGAGGTGTCGAAGAATCCTTCAAACCGGAATGGGTAAATGTGGGAAACTATATCTATGGCCATTAGGAAGTTATGAAATGGACTTAATTGGTTAATGAGGTGTTAAAGAGCCCTATTCGATTACTTTTAGTCAACTCATCCCCCATATCTTCCTTTAATGATAATTTTACCCCTAGTGTGCCATCGAGTTCGGATAAGGGTCTGGACTTCCGTTCTTCACCCGATAATGACTCAGACCATACGGGGTTGGGTCATTACAGTCCTCCAATAGTGTCCTTTTTGGTCATTTTACAAAATTATTTGTTTTTATATATTTTATAAAATGGTTCAGTAAGGGTATTTTGGTCAGAGGGACCTGCTTGCACCAAATTTAAACTTTAGGGGTATTTTTTGCACTTGAAAGGTGTGATATACACTATAAGCATACTTTAGGGGTGTTTTCTACACTTGACCCCATCAAAGTAATATACATTAAACGATCTATTGTGTGTAAATTTCATAATAAGTTAGTATAATTTACCCTAAAAATTATTACATTAGCAATTATTTTCTTATTGTTCAAAAGAAGTGCACCATGTAAACAATTTTTAAGATCTTGCAATTTCAACAAGCAATTCAATCATATATTTGAAGTTGTTCAATAAGATGTCCAACGTCCAAAATCCACTAACATGTTTAAAAGAGCAGTTGATTACTCAAACCTATACAAATGCTATACGTCTACTCTTTTTTTATTCAACAGTAGGAATCCTACTGAGAACAAGAAACGCGATATAGATGACTCTGTTCAATTCCAATCGATCCTAACCTTAAAAAAATAATAATAATAATAAAATGAAAAATAAAAATGGTCATATGCATTTTTTTTAATGTCCAGAAAGTGATTTAGCAGATTTGTAAATTGGTTACTACCTTTTCAATGGATCACTGGTTCTGTTTAGAGATAGTTGGATATGCCATTAATATAGATATATATATATAATTTTTTTATTATTAAAAAGCCCAATGATAATACAGTATTCTTTGTATTTAAAGGGAATTTATATGCCCATTAAATTTGGATTAAACAGACCTACATGCTTAGTTTAAGTGCCTTCAGTTGAAGCTGGGAAATGTTTGGACGGTAGAGTCAATGAGTGTGTAGAGCCTGTCTATTAACTTAATAAATTATTGGTCAGCTTAAAACAGGTCAATCAATTTATGTACATCTAAAAATAAGGGACAGACCCTATCTTGCAAGTTGCTGAGGCAGTGGACACGCAAGCACTTGCGAATAGATGCATACGCCCTTTTACAGGCTTTGAACTTAATGCATTGGACCCCACTAACAATGAAATAGTGTCTGTAACACCGCAGTATTATATAATTTCTTTTTTTCTGCTTTTTTTTTTTTATAAGAACAATGCTACTTAGGTCCAAATCTTCAATCGAAGAATTAGTCGAAACATGTGTGGGTACCGATCCATTATCTGGATTCGAACACATGCGTCCTACTTTGGTTCACTCTTCAATTGAAGAGTTGGGTCCAAAAATTATTTTTCTTTTTCCAATCGTAGACGTTTGTAAATGGATTTAGGACACTGCTATGGTAGCCGAATAGCCTTGCCTAATTGTTGAACCACCATTATAGAACGGTGCTACGGTAGCCGAATAGCCTTGCCTAAATTTTGAACCGAACACACCGTGGTAGTTAAAAATGCTGACTTAATATACTCGGGCTTTACTTCTTTCAATTTTGCAGTATAACAATTTTGTACGTTCCCTACCTAGGGTGCCCTACAATTTGCGTGTGAGAATGAAAATGGTGATGGATTATATAGCATTTAATAGAAAGAAATTGAAATGTAACCAACTGTCAAAGTTCAAATGCCATGATCTGTCATTTCCCACATGTAGAAAATTGTGTACCTTGGAGATTCATTTGGGTTTTTTTATTTTTCATGGCAAGATATTATTCCGTAAGAGTTAGTTGTTAGAAGAAAGTGGAAGGCTACAAGACTAAAACACGCGTTTTTGAACACTGAGAGTAAACTTGTTGCAATTCATTTGAATTGAAGGAGTTGAAAGGAAGACAAATGAACAAAAAGAAGGAAAAAAGTTATAACATTTCTCTTTTGAAAATGAGTAAGAAACAGAGAGAGAGAGGAAGAAAGGAAGAGAGTTACTTACTCCCATGACTCAAAATACATTTTTCTTTCTTTCCAACTATCTTTGCAAAACAAGATAAGAGAGGGTTACCACTATCATTTTATTTACTTTCATTAACTAGTAATCCAAACAAAAGATATAGCCAACACATTCCTTTTACATGTTCTTGTCAACCAATATCTCTGTAATGCTACGATTAGCTCAACCTCACGACAATTATCATTTGTCATCAGTTCCAATATTTCTACAATGTTATCATAATGTGACTAGCCGCTTCAAAAAGAATAATATTAAGATTATTTTACGAGGATGCTAGCGGTAGCCATTTAAGGACGTCACAATTATCCTCTCTTGAGACTTAACGTTCTCACAAAATAACCCTGTTATATAAATATTATCCACTTTGCACACTGTCAACACTCTTAATTTTTAAAACATGTGAACATAATTATAACTAGGGGTGCACAAAAATATGGTCAAATCGAAAATTTAAATCAGACTGGACAGTTTGGCTTGATTTGCTAATGGTTTGGTTCGGTCACGATTCTCAATTTGTAAAACTGTAAAGATACGGTTTGATCACAATTTGAGATCCTTTAGGATCGAACTAGACCGAATCGAGCCATTATGTAGATATATATAAATAAATAAATATATTTATATATATATGTTAAATTATATAGTATATATAATTAATATAATCCTACAATTCAAATCACTTATAAAAGTTTGTAACACTATCAATCATATGGTCCACTTTTAATTCTCTTAGGTCTTAACAATTTATTAGATGATTCTTTTTTCTTTTCTTTTTTTATATAGTGGCTTAATTTTGTATTGTGTCTAATTGTTTATTGTTGAATTAGTAATTCTAAATGTTTTAAATTATTAGTAATTCTGAATTTATTCACTTCAATTCCAGAAGTGATAAAAAAGAATGAATTGAAAGTTCTGAATATATTAATAGTTCTGAATGTGTTGGTAACTTGGTTTATTATTTTGCATGTGAATTTTGATATATGAATATTTCTGTGACAAAAAAAAAAAAAAAAAAAAAAAAAAAAAAAAAAAAAGAAGAAGAAGAAGAAAAGGAACCGTAAAACCGAACCGGACCAAATTGGTTTTTTACGATTTGATTTGGTTTGGTTCCTTTGGTCAAATGGTTCGGTTTGATTCCAAATTTTATAAATCCGTTAAAATTGGTTTGATTTCAAAAAACTCTTAAATCGGTCCAAACTAAATTGTGTGCACCCCTAATTAGAAGATATTGGTATATTACATGTGAGATATCAAAAGTTTAATATCGACTATATAAGTTGTACATTATTATTGTTATTATTTTCAAAATGTGCAACATTATTATTGTTATTATTTTCAAAATGTGCTAATTTGAGCACATGACAACTTTTATAAGTTGAACCTCACAATAACACTCTCTACCCACCATAAATATCTCATAATTGAGAGTAAAAAACTCAAGAATAAATATCGGACAAAGTGAAACCCACAATTAATAAGACGGTTGTGTGTTTTCACATTTTATAGATGGGGGCTTAAATAGGACATTAATCACAACTCTGGGCTCCTTGGAATCATGTCAAGAACAGTGATTAATGCGTACAAAGTACTAAGGAATCAAGGATAAATAGCATTTATATAGAGATTAGAGGACTCAAATTCCTGAAATGACCCTATCCTCATATGACATTTGGCAATTATCTCCTTACAAAGGCACATAAACCCAAACAACACCAGTTAAAGAGTGTCCAATGATCAGATCCAAGTCCTATAATCTCTCTATGAACTGACTAGAGTTAAAATAAGAGTTCAAAACGAGAAGATGGGTTGTAAGAATTCAAGTACTACCATACACATTAATTACCACTCTTACAGCCAAAAACATAAAGAGGGTTGAGAATGGACACAGCCCATTTACAGCTCAACCTTTTTCTTCTGACACTTGAAATAGTTGCTGCACAATTCATAAATTAGGACCCAATAACACCCTATCGTCCTATATTCAAATTTCTTCAAATCGTTGAAGACTTTTGGGTAAAAATGTTTTGTAGACTAGTCAGTTTAGGCCGACTAAGAAAGAAAGTGTGACGTCTCGTATCATTTGTGAGAGAGGTTGCTGAGACTTATATACAGACACGGAACACAAAATCTTTCTAATTCTGTGTTTGAATCGATTAAAGCCTACTCTAACCTTGTGGAAATGGCTAAGTGTTTGTTTATTTGCCTCAATCACTCACCATCCTTGAACATATTCAAAGATAGCACAACTCTTGTTCCACTTCATTCTTTTACATGTTGAACTCTGTTCAGTGCTTTAAATTGTACATGTATTACAGTAGTATGCATCTAGTAGACAAACTTTTTGTTACGATCTAATTAATTGAAGCACATGCAGCTTGGTTGTGGCCACAACTCCCAATGTACCATTCATTATCTCCTCCCAACTACTTCCTCCTATCTTAAGTAGTTGGATCAACAAAATTCATAATTGTTGTTTCAAGCTAATGAGCTCTGATTGACAGCTAAACTCTCATATAAGAGAAGTTGATACCTGTCTATACATTATATATGCAAGCTTTGAATGCTCTATAACCACTTTTAAGACTCCATTAATATATATAGTCAACTTTCACCTTCCTCCTTCAGCTCCATCTTTCAGTTGGAATCACTTTTCTTTGCTAAGGGTCTTAAGGCCTTGCTCAAAGCCTCAGACACAAATCCATCTATCTCCAAAAATGGGCATCTTCTGTGGAGCAACTTTGGCTTTTGTATTGGCTTTGGCAGCATTTGCCATAAGAGGGGATGCTCAGCCTCTTGTTCCGGCCGTCGTGACGTTCGGAGACTCTGCCGTGGACGTCGGGAATAATGACTATATCCACACCATTTATAAGGCTAATTACCCACCTTATGGGAGGGACTTTGTCAACCATCAACCTACTGGAAGGTTTTGCAATGGAAAGCTAGCCACTGATCTCACTGGTAATTTTTTATTTTTTATTTTTATTTTTGGTTAGGTAAGTACTCACGCATATTTCACAAATTGCCCACGGAACTCAAACCTCGCTGGTAAGTTTAAGAATCTAGTGGCATAAATTTTATCTCTATATCCAACAAAAAATACTTCAGATTAGCTAATCTGCTTGAAGGCTTGTTCAATTGTTTGCATCAAATTTTGTACTAATCATTTATGATGTGTCTAATGCAGCTGAAACTTTGGGCTTTACTACTTACGCACCAGCTTATCTGAGCCCTCAGGCATCCGGAAAGAACCTTCTTATTGGAGCCAACTTTGCTTCTGCTGCATCTGGCTATGATGACCATACAGCCTACTTGAATGTAAGAATTCATTTTGAGCTTGTAAAAAACATATATATATATATACACACACACACACATATACATATCTATGGATGTCAAGCAGATATATATAGAGACAGAGAGAAGAAGAAAACTCAACATTCAACAAAGAAGAAAACTCAAAATTCACTTGTTTGGGTGCCCAGTTGTTCCTATATCACAAATTAGCACTCTTTTCTTCTGTTTTCCTAATTGGAAACTAGGGTTCTCCCTTTTTTTTTTTAAAAAAAAAAAAAATGCGTTACAATGACAAGCTGAAGTCATAGTTTTGTACCTATTTTTATTTAATATCGTGACACAAACACAAATCATTTTCCATGTTTTGTTTGACAACAAGGGTTTTTTTATTTTTTTATTATTATTATTTTTAATTTTTATAGCATTACACTCACAAGTCACAATCTGAAGTCATAATTTTTTTTTTTTTTTTATCTATTTTGATTTTTAATATTGTGACATAAAGACATTCATTTTCTATGTTTAGTTTGGAAACAAGGGTTTTTATTTATTATTATTATTTTTTAATATCATTATACTCGCATGTCACAAGCTGAAGTCATAGTTTATGTACCTATATTGATTTAATTGTATGAAACTTGAATTTGTTGCAGCATGCAATTCCGTTGTCGCAACAGTTGGATTACTACAAGGAGTACCAAGGCAAGCTAGCCCAAGTAGCAGGAAGCAAACAAGCTGCATCAATCATAAAGGATGCATTATACTTGGTGAGTGCTGGTAGCAGTGACTTCTTCCAGAACTATTATGTCAACCCTTTCCTCAACAAAGTCTACACTCCTGACCAGTACTCTTCATACCTTGTCGGCATCTTTTCAAGCTTCATCAAGGTATCTTGCTCTTGTTACATATAATTTGGTGTGTGTGTATATATAAATACATATTGTGAAGTTGTAGCCTGAATTTTATTTTAGCCGGAGTAGTGTTGCAATCCGGTTTTGACCTATATTGGAATTCTATCTCTATTGTAAGTTTGCAACTCAGTATATAAAGGTGCTAGGATTTGTAGTGTGTAAGAGAAAAGACCGAAAAGGTCGACAGAGAGTGAGATAGATAAGGGGTTGGGGGCTTAATAACTTGTGATCTCTGTTTTTTTTCATATAGTGAAATCTCTTCGCTGATTTTCACTACGGACATAACTTATAAGTCGTCGAACCATGTAATATGTGTTGCATAATTTAGGCTTTTTCTATCTTTCCTTGATTCTTTTTGTGGTTTGTTGGTGTTTGTCATAAACATATATATGTATATATATATATAAATGTAACTAGATCATGTGTTGGTTGCCTTGTTTGACAAACAGGACTTGCATGGGTTGGGAGCCAGGAGAATTGGGGTGACTTCACTCCCACCATTGGGTTGCCTTCCAGCGACTAGAACTCTGTTTGGTTCCCACGAAAATGGCTGTGTCTCTAGGATCAACACTGATGCTCAAGGATTCAACAAGAAGATCAACTCAGCTGCAAAAACTCTCCAAAAGCAACTTCCTGACCTCAAGATTGCCATCTTTGACATTTTCAAACCCCTTTATGACCTTGTCCAGAAACCTTCAGATTTTGGTACTCAACAAATTAATTTCTTGTTTTGGGTACCTTATAAATTGTGAATTGATAAAGGCATCACATTATTATTGCTGAAATACATATATATATAAGTTGACTCGACAGTTCTCCGTTTGTGGAGATAAATCTGCATACATACAGTGACAGGAGTCTAGTGCTTATACGTTGTGTTTTTCGTAGGTTTTGCGGAAGCAAGGAGAGGTTGCTGTGGAACTGGGACAGTAGAGACTACGGTATTTTTGTGCAATCCCAAGTCACCAGGAACTTGTGCTAATGCTACACAATATGTGTTTTGGGACAGTGTTCATCCATCACAGGCTGCTAATCAAGTTCTTGCTGATTCGTTGATCATAGAAGGCATCAGCCTCATCGGATGAGGTTACGCTTTCTGTAATGTACACTACACAATGTACCGACACTGTTTACTACCACTATGTGTTCTTGTGAAGAACAAAGGTAAACCTTGTTCTGTGTCTCTGAAGTTTCAAGTGTAATAAGGACTTCGAAAAGGGCTAAAATGGATAGGAAGTTTACAGTTTTTAAGATTATTTTCTCGTGTTAAAGATTTGATGCAACAACAATTTATTCAAGAAGGGTGTTCTAGGTGCCAAAATTAACAACCATAGAAGCAGTTGTCACTAGCAAATGCTGATTTTGACAATTGCAGCATCTACCAGAAGTTTTGTTCTCTCCCACTATTCTTGTCCCAATGACTTTTCTTGGGTAAATTGTAACGACCCGAACCCGAGGGTCCGAATCGCTAATCGGGTCCTTATCCGAATCCGAGGTCAACAAAAGACATTATCATTCTTTCCTATGGCAATACATACTACACGTGTTATCCCAGGGTTTATAAATAATAATAATAAAAAAATGAGATCATAGCTACAAAATAGGTCAAACAGTCTACTAACCTATCAAAACCTATGGAGGAACATCTCCGCCACTTCCTTTCCCAAACCTGAAAAATGTTAAAATAATGGGGTGAGCATAAGCTCAATAGAAGGTGTTTAAGACACACCTTATGATCCCGTGAATCCACGTATAGAATAAAAATCAAGAGAAGGGGTTCATACTATACCAGGGGTGTAATCCATAACCATGACGTCAAATATAAACACAAATGTCATCCAAATCACAATTACACCAAAAATGCTATTGAAATGCAATGTCGTGCCAATGTCACTCCCCATTTTCCAAAACAAATCCTCTTTACCATTCCAAACCATTAATGCAATCCAACCCATATCACCTCTATGGCACCACGAAGGAAGGATTGGCTAGCTTTCCCAGACCACATGGCACCTCCATGGCGTCGTCTGGGCCTAGATAGCTCAACCCCCACTAGAGTCTCTCTCTAGCTCCCTCTAGATCACACTAACACCACAGACCACTGGGCGCCTCCTAGGCGTTCGGCTTTTCGCAAACACTTTTCAAAACCATTTTTCTCAAAACAATATCATTTGCTTCTAAAAACACCTTTCTCTTTCCTCTTTCTTTTCCAATGGATGCATGTATGCTTCATACTTCTAAACACAATTCAACAATAAAATTCTACATGTTCTTCTACATCATCATCATTTTATTATTATTATTTTTTTATATAAAAAATTTCAAACAATTATTTCACAACCACAACATCAATTTCCATAGCAATTGAGAATTCACAAGTCACACAATATACCAAAATTAATCATGTTTCTTCACAATAATGTAAATGGCTATATATATATAACCCAATTAGCATGTAAAACACATTCGTCATCTTGAGCACATACAACCACAATAACAATGGACAAGATAATTAAAATTAAGAGTAGCGACTCGAACCCGGGGTTTGAACCGCTAATCGGGTCCTTACCCGAACCCGAGGTCAACTAGGTCATACCAGTTATTTCCTGTGTCCATATCTGTCATACGAGTCAATCCAAGGTTCCAAGATACAACCTTGCAAAGAGGGTCAAATGATACAGGTCAAAAGAGGAGAATCAGCCGGCTGATGGCCCTTCACCGGCCAGCTGACAGGGCAGGTTCGGTCGGCTAACCTACATGGGCGACCGGCTGAAACGATCTCAAAATCTACATGCTCTCGGGACCGCTACAGTGGAAACATCGGTCAGCTGGTAGGGAGGGTCGGTCGGCTGAAACAAGGTTCTGCACCACTGAACTCTCTGGAATGTAATAAAAATGCACAATTAGCCGGCTGATGATCCTTGTCAGCAAGCCGACAGGCCCTGGGAAGCTGTTATATGCAATCTCAAACACCAGAATTGCTAGGTTCAATGCAAGCCAACTTATAAGGAAAACCTGATACGCATATAAGTCTGAATTCACGGCAATAGCATACAACATCTTAAGATTATGAACATAAACAGCTTGCCACAAAATACATCATCATCCCCCATTCATTACAACATGCTTACATAATTCCAAATATGCAATAAATGTTGTCACAAGATTATAGTTACATTGCAAAACGAATACGTTCATGAGTTATAGCTATACAAAAGAATGGCTAAGTCACAAATGATGACAAAATATAAACTTCAATTCTTCCTCAAGCTTGTGGTGGATTGTCATCCGCCACTTCCTTCCCGAGCCCAGAAAAATGTTAAATGTAATGGAGTGAGCAAGTTACTCAGTAGGTGGTACCTAAGACACACCTCTTGTGGCCCCGTGAACCCAAACAACGAAGAGAACAATAGGGAACAAGATCATGCTAGGTGGGGAAAACTACAACATCAATTTCAAATTTAAAACAAACAAATGCCATACCATGAATGCAATGCCATGTATGTCACTCCCCATTTTCAAATCATCCATCACTTCTCAAACTATTAATATAACCCGTCCGTTGGTGACTACGCGGCTACACGAGAGAAGGATTGGCCACTATCCCAGACCCTGGGTACCCCCGCGGCATCATTTGGGGCCCAACTAGCTCAACCACGTAAGGGTAATTTCCTTAGTTCCCTCTAGGTTATGTTAACACCACGACCCTTTGGTGACTCCGCGACGACCATGTTTTTTCAAAACCATTTTTTCAAATTTCTCTCCAAAGTCCCTTTCACTTTCATTTGACAACACTTTGCCCTTTTCTTTCATGTCCAATGTTATGGATGCATGCCACATATTCTCCCAATAATATGAAAATAGAGGAAATTTACACTTCACAATTTAACATGCTTCTTCATAGCAATTTCTAGGAAAATAATAAACACCATGGCATGGAAATTAACATTTAGGCATACTTCTCACATAATACAATCAACACATATAGGCATAGATTTCTAATACAACAATTATATCATTTTCAAGGCAATCAATTTAAATAAGACATGTTTGGCAACAAATATTGAAAGATAATTCACAAAGGAACAAGAAATTGGGAATTAGGAACCCCTACCTTAAGATATGCAAAAACCTTCAAATTTATACCCTAGATTTCGAAATTCTTAAAGTGCAACAACCAAGGAATTGCTCCAATCAACTTGTAGATCTCGCCGTGATCTTTAATTTGCCGCAAACGGCTCCCAAAAATACCAAGGATTGAGGAAGAAATCAAGGTTTAAAGCTTTTGAAATAAAAGAAAAATGGAATTTGAGAGGGTAAGAGAGACCAGCAGGAGAGGAAGAGAATGAGACCATATTGTGGTCTCATAGCCACCAAATAGGCTAGTGGTGGGTCCCACCACTTCCCAAAACCTTTTCCTTTTTAATTTTATTTTAAATTCTTATTTTGCACCACACAATTAAATATAGATACACACTTAATATCCATAACCACATACAATACATTAAATAAAAATGCATGTGATGTAAATGGACCCAACCAACACCCCCGTGCACGACAATTCTAGTAATGGGTCCCACACGAGACCGTCCGGCCCGAAAAAGGAAAAAATGCTAAAATGATAACCCTTACATTTCAAAGAGTCCTGAACTCAATGAAATGTCTCAGTCAACTCTCGGACATAACTGACACACTCCATGGTGTCCGGTACGCAAAACAGTAAAAAACGAAAATGTCCCTACAACGACAAAATTCTTGAAAAATGAAAAATGGCGAAAAATGGGAACATCACAATCTCCCCAACTTAAAAGGATTTCATCCCCGAAATCAAGCCATACCTGGGAAAGAAAACAACGTCGGGTACTTGGAGCGAACCTCCTGTTCGAGCTCCCAAGTAGCCTCCTCGACTCCGTGGTGTCTCCAAATAACTTTCACTAATGGTATCATCTTATCCCTTAACACTTTCTATCGTATGTCAAGGATCTGAATTGGCCCCTCTTCATAGGAAACATCCTCATCAATGTCCACATCGACCCAATCCAAAACATGGGATGGATCTGGTTCATACTTTAGTAACATTAATACATGAAACACGTTATGAACTCTGTCCATCTGTGGCGGCAAAGCAAGTCTGTAGGCAGTTAACCTCTCCTACGTGGTCGAAGATCTTAAACGGTCCAATGAATTGTGGCGATAACTTGCCACTCTTCCCGAACCTCATCAAACCCTTCCGTGAGGAAACCCATAGAAAGACATGGTCTCCCACCTCAAAGGATAGCGGTCGTCTCCGCCTATCCGCATAACTCTTCTGTCGGCTCTGAGTTGTGAGCAACCTCTGTCTAATCAACTTAATCTTCTCGGTAGTCTCGAGTACAATGTTAGGCCCTAAGGCGGCTGTCTCGCCTACCTCATTCCAACAAACTGGAGACCTACAAGGCCTACCATACAATGCCTCAAATGGGGCCATCTCGATGCTCGCCTGATAACTGTTGTTGTAGGTAAACTCAATAAGTGGAAGGTGATCTTTCCAACTACCACCCAAGTCAAGTACACTCATATCCTCCAAGATCTGGATGGTACACTCTGACTGGCCGTCTATCTGTCGATGTAATGCCGTACTCAGGTGTAACGCTGAGCCAAACGCTATTTGAAGTCCTTCCCAGAACTTTCAAATGAACTTGGTATCCCTGTCCGAAATAATGGTTACTAGAACTCCATGCAACCTCATAATCTCCTTCACATATAGCACACCAAGTGCATCTACATCATTTATTGCCTTAATAGGCAAAAAGTGGGCCGTCTTGGTCAATCTGTCAATAATGACCCATATGGCTTCATTTCCCCTTCGTGACCTTGGAAGACCTATCACAAAATCCATAACAATCTGCTCCCATTTCTACTGGGCTACAGGCAATTATTGCAACAAACCTGCTGGTCTCTGATGCTCGGCCCTCACCTGTTGATAGGTAAGGCATCTGGCCACAAACTGTGCAACATCTTTCTTCATTCCGTTCCACTAATACTGACGCCTCAAATTGTGATACATTTTTGTACCACCTGGATGAACTGCAAAACAGGAAGTGTGAAATTCCCGTAAAACGTCCTCACGACAAACTGTGAAAACAACCCACAAACCCTTAAACCGTAGACCTCCATCCATATGCAAGGTCCAATCTTTCACTGTCTCACCACTGGAGATCAAGGTGTGAATGGCATCCAAATCAGAATCTTGCCTCTGTGACTCAATCACTCGTCC